ATATAGCCCGAGTCAAACAATTAATCGTACACTTGCCAAGTATACTTGGCCAGCCTGGGCCAGCCTTGTTTACACTGGCCGAGGCGCAAAAAAACGACTGCGCAAATAATGTTACTCTTATAGCGTATGTCCGATTTATTTCCGGATCGTAGTGCTTTTCGAGTTAATTGCGGATAATTTAAAACGGTAAATAATCTAATAAAATAATAGATTATGTAATATCAAATTTACATTAATAACTTCAATATTAGCGACATACCTAAATCGTTTTCACAGCAATAAATGGAGTGGACAAATGAAGACTACACGGGAAAAACCAGATATGTCACATTTTCATAGAAATTAAGATAGCGATACAACTTTATAGACAAATGTTAACGTCATTCGAAAAAGCAATATAACGCTTAGTCCCAGAGATATTACAGCTTGGTTATTTTGCGTACAAAGGAAAAAAGCAGAGTAGTCCACGCGTAAATGGCAAAAACCCTAGAGATGTACTTACAGCGACAACCATGCATCTTGCAATTAGCATTATATTATTAAACAAGGGATATTACGAGAAAATAAACGTCGAAAATCAAAACACAAACAAATTTATTCCGCTCGAAACTTGCCGAAGCTACAATAAACAACAATAATCTTGACGACTGAAAAACATAGATGAATTAACAAATCTCAAAACATCATCTGACACGATTGATAGAAAACTATTATCCTTATGTAACAATCTTAAAGGTATACACATACGTAATTAATTTATGTACGTATATACGGAGTATTTTTTTCGTTATCAATATGGTTATAAATTTATGTATTGTAATAAAAACCTACTTAAATATAAATTTTCAACAAAAAAAATAATAGTTTAGATTTTAGGTTTATATATTATTATTATATTATATATATTAGGTTTTATACAACCTTGTGTGAACATCTCTGTTTTCTCCTGTTTTGTTTTGCATTTTGACTATTTTTTTTTAGATTATCTATTTAGATTTTTATTTCAATATTTCAAAATATAGCGATAATTCACAATATTAATAATTCAGAATTGGTAGTAATATAAATATTTTTCTAATTATTCAACCGAAAATAACATATTTCTTTAAAAACACTAAATTGCATTTTTCTGCTGCTCAAAACGGACAAAACTGGGTTTTCCCGTGTAGTCTTCAAATGATGTTGTTTTGGAATTTATGGTTTATGCGAAAATGACATAGAAATCGTATTGCAGTGTACAATAAAAGAACTTAAAAAGAAAAAGAATCACTAGCAACGACTTTTGGGACGACCAGTATCCATCGATGCGACTATACTGTTTACTTGCCAAGGATTGTAGGGGTACTTGGCAAATACGCAAATATTGGCGTACTTGCCAAGTACACTTGCCAATGTAGTACAAAGTGGGGATTGGTGGGGATACTTGCCAAGTACGCAAATATTGGCGTACTTGTCAAGTACGCCAGTCGTGAGAATCCGCCTTCAAACGATTAATCTAGACAAACGATTAATCGTACGTTGCCAAGTACACTTGGCCAGCCTGGGCCAGCCTTGTTTACACTTGCCGAGGCGCAAAAAAACGACTGCGCAAATAATGTTGCGCAGCAATACTGTTATAGCGTATGCCCGATTTATTTCCGGATCGTAGTGTTTTTCGAGTTAATTGCGGATAATTTAAAACGTCAAAACAATTATAGATTACGTAATATCAAATTTACATTAATAACTTCAATATTGGCGACATGCCTGAATCGTTTTCACAGCAATAAATGGGTGGACAAATAGAAGACTACACGGGAAAAACCTGATATGTCACATTTTCATAGAGATTAAGATAGCGATACAACTTTATAGACAAATGTTAAGGTTATTCGAAAAAAGAAAGCCATAATACGCTTAGTCCCAGAGATATTACAGCTTGTTTATTTTGCCGTACAAAGGAAAAACCAAAGTAGTCCACGCGTAAATGGCAAAAACCAGAGATGTACTTACGCATGGGCGACCAGCATGCATCTTGCAATTAGTATTATATTATTAAAACAAGGGATATTACAGAAAATAAACGTCGAAAATTAAAAACACAAACAAATTTATTCCGCTCGAAACTTGCCGAAGCTTACAATAAACAACAATAATCTCGACTGACCGAAAAACATATATGAATCAACAAATCTCTCAAAAACATCATCTGACACGATCGATAGAAAAATATTATCATTATGTAACAATCTTAAAGGTATACACATACGTAATTAATTTATGTACGTATATATGGAATATATTTTTTTCGTTATCAATATGTTATAAATTTATGTATTGGAATAAAAACCTACTTAAATACTAATTTTCAACAAAAAAAAAAATATGTAGTTTAGATTTAGGTTTTATACAACCTTTAATTAATTGAACATCTCTGGTTTTCCCCTGTTTTGTTTTGCATTTTGACTATTTTTTTAGATTAACTATTTAGATTTTTATTTCAATATTTCAGAATATGGCGATAATTCGCAGTATTAATAATTCAGAATTGGTAGTAATATAATTATTTTTCTAATTATTCAACCGAAAATAACATATTTCTTTAAAAACACTAAATTGCATTTTCTCGGCTCGAATTAAAATGGACAAAACTGGATTTTCCGTGTAGTCTTCAAATGATGTTGTTTTTGGAATTTAGGGATTTATACGAAAATGAGCCCTTCATATGGATGGCCAAACATAAAGAACATAGAAATCGTATTGCAGTGTACAGTAAAAGAACTTAAAAAGAAAAAAGAATCACTAGCAACGACAATTTCGGGACGACCAGTATCCATCGATGCGACTATACTGTTTACTTGCCAAGGATTGTAGGGGTAGTTGGCAAATACGCAAATATTGGCGTACTTGCCAAGTACACTTGCCAATGTAGTACAAAGTGGGGACTGGTGGGGATACTTGCCAAGTACGCAAATATTGGCGTACTTGTCAAGTACGCCAGTCGTGAGAATCCGCCTTTATGTGTTTCTCGTATCGAAATCGCACAAGGCGGATTTTCCCCACTCGTGTACTTGGCAAGTACGCCAATATTTACGTACTTGGCAAGTCTTTGTAAACAACTTTTTTTGCAACAAGCTTGGCGTTCACACGACGCGAAGAGTGACAAATAATTGCACAAGTAAACCGCTCACAAGACAAATGTTTGTCAAGTACACGAGTCGTGAGAATCCCCCTGATATGCGAGTATATATCGAAGTAAGTGTTCTATGTAAATTGTCGTGAGTTGCCTAGCTGTCTAGTCAGTAAGGTGTGCTTCTAAAGCCAGGTCTCCACCAAAGCAATATATGTCGACGATATTGACATCAACTTTTGTTACTATTTTCATAAATATTTTCGAGAAATGTAGATCGTACCTACCAAAGAAATATTGTTGCTCGACTTCATTTTTCGACTAAAGAGCGAAAGTTTATTTAGTGTTTATCAACATGTGGAAAGACGAGTATGTAATTATAATATCAGCCTCATTCCTTATTATTTCGCGAAATGAGCGTCGTCAAGCCAGACGGCCCATGCCCGAACGTATTGAATCTTTGGCCTTTTTGTACTCTATAAAAATTGTCTGGTAATATTTTTTATTTTTCTCTCAACTTCCATCCTCTCCACTTCTAAACTAGTTGCAATATCATTCTAGGCATCATACTTTCTATTTCTGTTCTTATACCAAGTATGTTTAGTGTTCCAAAGTTCGGGATAGGCTTGATAGTTTTCAATCATATTTTTTGTTTTATAATTACTCCACTCCATACCAAATTTATTTTTAGCAACAGAATCTAAAACAAACTTCTGGCCTTGTGAACTACACGAGTACAAATAGCAAAATATACCCGATAAAGTTACTGATAGGGGTTGATTCGGTGGAGACGTCTTTCGACATGTTTGCAAATATTGTCGTCGACACGATTTTTCTTTGAAGCCGGGTTTCCACCAAAGCAACATTTGTCGGCGACTGTGTCGCCGACTAGTATTGTCTACAATGTTGCTGAAAATTCAGTAAAGTCGTCGACATTTTATGTTGCAGATTTAAGTCACCGACTTTGTTTCATGTTTCGCTTGAGGAGCGGTACATCAAAAGAAAAATCGTGTCGACGACAATGTTTACAAACGTGTCGAAAGACGTCTCCACCGAATCAACTCATATCAGTAACTTTATCGGGTATATTTTTCCATTTGTACTCGTGTAGTTCCCAAGTTTTTTTTTATTCTGTTGCTTAAAATAAATTTGGTATGGAGCGGAGCAATGATAAAACAAGAAATCTGATCTGAAAAAATCAAGTTCAGTCCGAACTTTGGGACACTAAGCATACTTGGTATAAGAACAGAAATAGAAAGTATATATGATGCCTGGTAAACAACCGGACAATTTTTTAGAGAGTACAAAAAGGCCAAAGATTCAAACTTTCGCTCTTTAGTCGAAAAATGAAGTCGAGCAACAATATTTCTTTGGTAGGTACGATCTACATTTCTCGACAATATTTATAAAAATAGTAACAAAAGTTGATGACAGTGTCGTCGATATATGTTTGCTTTGGTGGATACCCTGCTTGATGTACCGTTCCTCAAGCGAAACATGAAACAAAGTCGGCGACATAAAATGTCGACAACTTTACTGAATTTTCAGCAACACTGTCGACAACACGTCGCCGACAAATGTTTTGTTGGATACCCGGCTTAATGTTATGTTTATTCTTTCAGCTTAGTAATATTTTTTGTGTTTCGATCAGAGTGATTTAATTTGAATTTTCAGTTTCCTTCTGTGTAGTCTAAACTATGTGCTGAATAATGAAAGCGGCATTAAGTTGGCTAGGAAATGACGATTGATGACATTCACAATAACTGTAATTTTACGTAAATGATATTGACTCTCATTAGTCAACCCTGACGTTATTTTTTTTTATCATTTGGCCATTATTCCATATGACATTTCTACATTATTGTAGGCTATAAGAAAACAATACTTTTTTTGTAATTTGTAATGATTTATTAAAATTTAAATAATACATAAAAATAGTTGATTGCACAAGTTTTAAAATGAAATGATCAAAAATAATATTTCATTCAGCTAAAATTAATTTTAAAACAAAGAACAATTAATAAATAAATATTTACAAAAAAGTGGTATTCTTAATTTAATTAAAAGTATTCTTCCATTTGTACGAATTTCATATTCAATTAATTTTCTGGCCATTTCGGTGGTTGCTCTGCGGTGTATACGATGTTTTATAAAAGTCATAAAATAAATAATAGAAAAAGATGGCATTTGGTAGACAGATAGTTACAGCCCACTTGGGATAATCACAATCGGTTACAAAGATCAGCGAACTATGTAAAAATATTAAGCAAAATTGGATCTAAAAATGAATACATTAATATTAACTTGCAATAATTTAACTTGTTAAATATTACTAGCTGAAACCTAGTTAAATACTTCTTCCACCATAGGTATTTTTGGAACGATGGTCCTAAAGCAGCCAAGAAGTAGTATGAGTAAAGTATAATATGAACAAAGCTGTTTACTAAGCCCACTATTCCAAGTTGGCCTCCAGGTATATATTTCACCGCCATCCTATTTTTGAAATACTATTATACGCTCAGATGCCAAAAAATACAAGTGAATTTTTTTTGTCAAGTTTAAAGTATTATATTTTTTTTTAATTTTAGTCCTATTCTCATGAATTTTTTAGCAAACTGTATATAAATCTATCAACTTTAATTCATAAACTCAGTTTTTCAAAAACTTTAGTATTCGGCTAATTATACAGGGTTTAATTGAAGGGTTAACGAGTTTGTTGTGTATCTCAACTTTAAAACACCCTGTGCAATAATTTCGTCAGTAACTTTTCCCAAAACATTATTTTTCGATTAGAACCATGTCTCCTGAGCATTTTATTTTTTGACTTATGTCATGGCATCCCTTGGTTATTTGTTATGCCTGTACTGCCTCGTCGCTATAAGAGCGAAATGAATTTGCCACCAATAATTTAAAAAAAAAATCAGCTATTATTATTTTATGTTATTTTTTAATATCTCGAGGTGGCTTTGGTGACTATTGCCGTAATGTCATATCGACACTGATTAGAACTCTATATTAAGATTTAAAAATGTTAAAAAGTAACGATACAGGCTTGGTTTTAATAAATATTAGTAACACTAACAGAACTATAAAGATATTAAAAAAAATAACTTGTAATAACTAAGTGTACAAATAAAAAAAAACTTGGAAATACTTTAATACCTTGTATTACCTTCCCCGGCTGCTATAACTGTTAATGAGGCTGTAGCTAAATATATTCTGTTATATTTTCCATTCGTCTTCAAGAACCAAGCGAATATTCATAATTTCGGCCATCTTCAACAAGATCAACGACTTTTGCACAATCTTCGACACTAAGAACAATATTCAATCGTACGAAACAATAATCACCAAAGTCACCTCGTCATGAAGAAAAATAACATAGTAGTAATAGTAGCTCCCGTATATAGCGTTTAACGCCTTGGGAGTAGCAAGGTACAGCTTGCCATACTAGAACCGTTCGGTATACAAGGAAGGTAATGTGGAATGTGGCTAGCACTACGCCAGAGTAAGTAAATGGCCGAAGAGCTCGGCTTGATGCAATGCCGGGTGTGGGAATCGAACCCACTACCTTGAGATTGGTAAACGAGAGCCTGTACCTCTACGCCACCTAGAAAAATAACATCAAGAAGTAAAAGTGGTCTATGCTTTTTATCAGACCATCATATCCTATAATATTTTTCGAGGCTGAGTACGAATCCGCTATCAGAATTACGCTATCACATCTCATTTTTTGTCGAACTGCAAAAATTTGGTGAAAATCCGTAAAAATTCCGGAAAATGTAGTAGGAAAAAATAAAAAAAAATGTCATGTATAATACTATAATCTAATGGGACATCATTTTAAGTGTCTCACTCAATTTATTATTTTCCTGTCTCGTATTTAAAAATAGTAGAAATTTTCTATGTAAATTTTTGCGAGGATGCCGATCCTCTACATAATTTTTTTTAAAACGTCAATTATGACAGATACGACGCTATCTTGATTTTTTTTAAATGGAAACCCCCACATATTTTAGCATGGTCCGGTAGACATATTTTAGCAAATTTCAAAAATATATAGTATAGTATACTTTGCACTTATCGTTTTCATTATACAGTGGATTTAAAAATGAATTGTTCCATGGCCCGTATTCTGTAACTTTGAAAACGCTAAGCGCTTTTAGACGCTCAGCGTATATGACGTTAATTTTCGCTGAGCGCGCACTTAATTAACGATTTCGGTATTCTCGTCTGACGCGCTTACCGTCTTTACTGATTGCGCTGAGCGCTTTGAAAACGGTTGCCTTAAAGGATCGTTTTGCTTGTCGAACTGTCAGTGAAAATCGAAAAAATTGTGATTTTGTGCGTTATCTTGCTCTTTAGTGAAAATTACTACTTCTTCTATAAATTCCTCAATAAGTAATTGATAATTTACGACTAGGCAGCTATAAATGTTGTTCAAAATTGTTCAAAACATCGAAAATGCTGAGAAGCGTCTTCAACACTTCCCTCGTATAATAAGAATAATCAGATATCCATAGAAAAATAGCTTGATATAACTCAACAATAGGTTATGAACTTCACGTAACATTGACATTTTTCATTGTTATATCCGTCAGTTATCAACTTTTGACTATTAGCTACATTAGAAATTGTGAAGTTGCCAATATGTGCTCAACGCATATCCAGAACACGATTCGCATGGCAACGAGAATACCAAAATCGACTGCATTGCGTTCCGCTGATCGAATACTTGCGCTCTCCGCTTTGAAAGAGTAACGTTTTTCTGTCAAAGTTACAGAATACGGGCCCAGAATCATTTTAATATTGTATTCTGGTATGTATTCTAATAGATATTTATTGAGTAAAAATTTAAGAAAAAAATTGTGCGAGTCATTGGTACTGTCTTGATTTAATTATTGTGATTTTGTTTACGGCCCTTGTTTGGATCAGGACAGTAAAATGCGCATACAGAAGGTTCAGAATAGTTGTATAAGATTTGTTTATGGCCTAAGAAAATTCGATCATGTGTCACACTTGTACAAAGACATTAAATGGTTTAAAATGGACCAAAGGAGGAATTTTCATTTGTGTGGTTTTTTTAATAAAAAAAGGGACCCACTCACTCCTGACTCTGTCAGAAGTCGACTTACTTTTCGACGAGATGTACATGGCCGCAGTAATTAGGAACCGAATAAGGTTAACCGTGCCTCATCATCGAACTGCCATGTTTCAGAGAAACTTTTCTTATAATGCAGCATATTATTGTAATTTAATACCTACGGATTATGTTGTCTTTTAAAAAAATTTACAAGAACTATATTTTGAATAATTCTATGTGAATATTGTCTGATTTAAATATTGTATATGACTTAGGATAAATAATACTTATATTTTTTATATGTATGTTATGTATATTATGTATAGAAATTGACTTGTGAATTTAAATGTTTGCTTAGTGTCTCCATCCGGTTCACAGTAGAGTAGCTTTGAGCTAGACTGCGCCGGGTCAAGGCACTGAAATTTTTCTATTTATTTTTTTTTCTATGTATTTGTTTTCATTTATCTCAATAAAGGCATTTATTATTATTATTATTATTAAATGTCTCACCCAACTTAAAATTTTCCTTTTTTCTATTTTAAGTGCAAAGTATACTAATCTATATATTTTTGAAATTAGCTAAAATGGACCATGCTAAAATATGATGGGGTTTCCATTTAAAAAAAATAAGATGGCGTCGTATCTGTCAAAATTGACGTTTTAAAAAATTTTAATGTAGAAAATCGGCATCCTCGCGAAAAAATGCATTAAAATGTCTTCTACTATCTTAAAATAGAAAAGAGGAAAATTTTAAATTGGGTGAGACACTTAAAATGATTCTGAAACAATTCATTTTTAAATCCACTGTATATCGAAAACGGTAAGTGCAAAGTATACTAAACTATATATTTTTGAAATTAGCTAAAATATGTCTACCGGACCATGCTAAACTATGATGGGGTTTCTATTTAAAAAAAGTCAAGATGGCGTCGTATCTGTCAAAATTGACGTTTTAAAAAATTTTAATGTAGACAATCGGCATCCTCGCGAAAAATTGCAATAAAATATCTTTTTACTATCTTAAAATAGAAAAGAGGAAAATTTTAAATTGGGTGAGACTCTTAAAATGATTCTGAAACAATTCATTTTTAAATCCACTCTATATCGAAAACGGTAAAGGCAAAGTATACTAAACTATATATTTTTCAAATTACCTAATATATGTCTACCGGACCATGTTAAAATATGATGGGGTTTCTATTTGAAAAAAAATCAACATGGCGTCGTATCTGTCAAAATTGACGTTTAAAAAAATTTTAATGTAGAAAATCGGCATCCTCGCGAAAAAATACATTAAAATGTCTTTTTACTATCTTAAAATAGAAAAGAGGAAAATTTTAAATTGGGCGAGACACTTAAAATGATTCTGGAACAATTCATTTTTAAATCCACTGTATATCGAAAACAGTAAGTGCAAAGTATACTAAACTATGTATATATTTTTGAAATTAGCTAAAATATGTCTACCGGACCATGTTAAAATATGATGGGGTTTCTATTTAAAAAAAATCAAGATGGCGTCGTATCTGTCAAAATTGACGTTTTAAAAAATTTTAATGTGGAAAATCGGCATCTTCGCGAAAGAAATACATTAAAATGTCTTTTTAGTATCTTAAAATAGAAAAGAGGAAAATTTTTAATTGGGCTAGACACTTAAAATGATTCTGGAACGATTCATTTTTAAATCCATTGTATATCGAAAACGGTAAGTGCAAAGTATACTAAACTATATATTTTTGAAATTAGCTAAAATATGTCTACCGGACCATGTTAAAATATGATGAGGTTTCCATTTAAAAAAAATCGAGATGGCGTCGCATCTGTCAAAATTGACGTTTTAAAAAATTTTAATGTAGAAAATCGGTATCCTCGCGAAAAAAATACATTAAAATGTCTTTTTACTATCTTAAAATAGAAAAGAGGAAAGTTTTAAATTGGGCTAGACACTTAAAATGATTCTGAAACAATTCATTTTTAAATCCACTGTATATCGAAAACGGTAAGTGCAAAGTATACTAAACTATGTATATATTTTTGAAATTAGCTAAAATATGTCTACCGGACCATGTTAAAATATGATGGGGTTTCTATTTAAAAAAAATCAAGATGCCGTCGTATCTGTCAAAATTGACGTTTTAAAAAATTTTAATGTGGAAAATCGGCATCCTCGCGAAAAAAAATACATTAAAATGTGTTTTTACTATCTTAAAATAGAAAAGAGGAAAATTTTAAATTGGGCTAGACACTTAAAATGATTCTGGAACAATTCATTTTTAAATCCACTGTATATCGAAAACGGTAAGTGCAAAGTATACTAAACTATATATTTTTGAAATTAGCTAAAATATGTCTACCGGACCATGCTAAAATATGATGGGGTTTCTATTTAAAAAAATAAGATGGCGTCGTA